TTTTTAGTTTTCGTTCCTTTTTTTCTTCTAATTTCTTTGAATGGAAGCTGAGGTTATTGATTTGAGATTTTTCTTCTTGTGTAATAGAGACATTTTGGTCCTATAAATTTCCCCTTAAAGGCTGTGTTAGCTGCATTTCACAAATTTTAATATGTCATGCCTTCATTTCAGTTCAGTTCAAAATACTTTCTAAATCCTCTTTTGATTTCTTCTTTGAGCCATGGGTTATTTAGAAGTGTGATATTAAAAAAAAAAAGAGAGAAGTTTGATATTTAGTTCAAAATATTTGGAGATTTTTCCAGATACCTGTTTGTTGCTGATGTCTAATTCATTTCCACTGCAGCCAGAAAATACACTTTGAATCTCCTCAAATTTAATTGAGACTTGGTTTGTGGCCCAGAATATCGTCTTTCTTGTTTTGTGTTCTGGGTGCCCTTGGAAAGAATGTGTGTTCTGCTTCTGTTTCATGAGTACTTTTGTAATGCCCCTGGTTACACCAAGTCAGTTGATAGTGTTGTTCAAGTATTCAAACCTCTGACTTGTCTATCCTCACAATTCTATCAGCTTTTGCTTCATGTATTTTGAAAATGTGCTATCTGATGCATAAATACTTAGAATTGTTATATGCTTTTGATGAATTGACCCCTTTATCATAATAAAATGATCCTTTTTGCCCTGGTAGTATTCATTGCTCTGACCTATACTTTGATATTAATATAATCACCCCAGATTTTTTTTATTAGTGTTAGTATGGAATATCTTTTTTTATTCTTTTACTTTTAGTCTACTTATATCTTTATATTCAAAGTAATTTCTTATAGAGACCAGAAAATTGAGTCTTGCTATTTTACTGAATCAATCTTTGCTTTTTATCCGGATGCTTAGATCATTTACATTTAATGTATTTGTGGAAATAGTGGGTTTAAACTTACCATCTTGTTGTTTGTTTTCTGTTCCTGTCAGATTTGTCTCTTCTAATCTTATTCTCTTTCCCTTTCTTTTCTCTCTTCTTTTGGATTAATCTATTTTTTAAAGATTTTATTTATTTGTTTGACAGAGAGAGAGATCACAAGTAGGCAGAGAGTCAGGCAGAGAGAGAGGGGGAAGCAGGCGCCCTGCTGAGCAGAGAGCCTGATACAGGGCTCAATCCCAGGACACTGAGATCATGACCTGAGCTGAAGGCAGCGGCTTAATCCACTGAGCCACCCAGGTACCCCTAATCTAATATTTTTAAAGCATCTATTTTATCTTCTTTTTTGGCATATTAGCTATACATCCTTTTAATATTTTAGTCATTTCTTTTGGGTTTATAGTGTACATATTTAACATACACAGCCTAACTTAAAGTAATATTATACTATGTGTGCTATATACAGCACAAAAACCTTACAAATCTAGTTTCATATCTTCTCAACAAATAATCCCAATAAAATGATAATTCCTCCATTTCAGTATCAATTTTTCAATCCCAGAATGGTCCCTAAGTGGCCTTGCTTGGGTTCCATATTCATCCCTGAATAAACAACAACAGACATGGGCATGACTGTTTTGCTAAGCCTGAATTCATGCAGCAGATGGAATTGGAAAGGAGCTCATCAGAAGAATCTAGGAAGAGGAATACAAAAGTGCACTAATTAGACAAAAACTAGAGCTATCATAGACCACTACAGGCAAACATATCACATTACAGATTGGCAGGTGGAGAATTCAGTCACCACTTGCTATAAATTCCCAATATATTTTGCTGACAATACTGAACTTGGCCACACAAAGCAGGAGCAAATGAAGCATTTCTTTACATGACATTTTCCTTCCCCTTATCTCCCCCAGGGCACACAGCCACCAGTGACAGTCTGCATATCTGATTCTTGTCAAGCAAAAAAGAAGCAAAATACTCCACTACCCTTTTATATTTGACTTTTATCAGCATTCTAGACAAAATTTTACGGACAATATAAGTACCTCTGTATAAGGCAGTTTCTCAACCTTGAAACTATTGACATTTTGAACCAGATAGCTTTTTGCAGGGAGGGGCTGCCCCATGCATTGTAGGATGTTTAGCGGCATCCCTGGCCTCTACCTGCTGGATGTTGGAACACCTGCCTCCCCAGATGGGACAGTAAAAATTCTCTAGGTAGTGCCACATGTCCCCCAGGAGAGCAACATTTGCTTCTAACTGAGAACCAGTGGTTTAAGGGAATGTTGGCAGACATCAGGATCTGTTGGTTCTTGACCCCAAATCAACATCAGCTGGTGAGAAAAAAGCAAAATTAACATTAGGTGCCATTTCAATTCCTGTTCCATATCCCTGCAAGCTCATCTGTCCTTAAGGGACAGAGTGTGATGTTCCCCCACTACTAAAATAGCTCCCAGCACCTGGAAAAGAGCAGTGCTCCACCATCACAACCATAGCCAATGTTAAAAGAATAAGGGAGTGAGTGGATGGATGGGTGGGTGGATAAAAAGAAAAATAGAGATTATTCACAGTGTTACTCTGGGAAAAGGAGTGACATTGATGGTACATATACATAAGAAAAAGCATATTTTTACTGTTTCACTAAAAGTTTCTGTATTTGAATTTTATCATTTTTACTTGCATGACTTAGAAAATCTTAACTGTTTTATTATTTATTTTAAAGATTTTATTTATTTACTTATTTATTTGACAGAGACAGTGAAAGAGGGAACACAAGCAGGGGGGTAGTGGGAGAGGGAGAAGAAGCAGGCTCCCCACTGAGCAGGGAGCCCAATGGGGGGCTTCATCCCAGGACCTTGGGATCATGACCCAATCCAAAGGCAGACTCTTAATGACTGAGCCACCCAGGCGCCCCTTAACTGTTTTATTTTTAAAGCACTTGGAAATCAAATCAAGCCTTTTGTCTTTGGTAACTTAATTTGGTCTTTAATTTTGGGTTGTTGTTGTTGTTGTTTTTGGAAGTACGAATGTGGACTTTAGCCCTAGTTGACCTTTCGAATACTGTATCACAAAGTCTGAAGCTTGATTTTTTTTTTCTTTCAACTCATGAGCAAAAGAGCCATACTGTGAGTATTTATTAATGGGATTTATGTTGGGAAGAAAAAGTCACTCCTGTTTCCTTTGTCAAACTCAGATTTTTCTGGGCAGGAGGAGAGGAGGGGGTGGTGAGGTAGGTGCAGTGAACAGCCCTCTGAGGGAGGAAAGGTGTTTTGCCTTTTCTGTTTAAGGCAGGCAGAAGTCAAAGGGCAAAGGAGTAGGGCAGGGAGTATAGAAGGAAAAAGATAATTTGTGGGAACAGCTGTTATTTCTCTTTTCTCCCGTGCCACCAGCAGGAAGCTGGGTCAGATCCTCCCTGCAATGGGGAGTCCAGCAGCATGAAACAGTCCAGTGCCTGTCACGTGTGACACCCCCACTCACATAGAATTCTTTTCTGACCGCCTCACTCTGCTCCAGACAGAAAGGCCCAGCCACCTGGGTCTCTTGAGGTCTGGGCTCCAGGATCCAGGAGAACCTGGCCTGCCAAGTGAGGTCATTTATTTACACAAGGCAAGTGACACACGGAGATGCAGAGCAATCCATCTGCCTTAGCGACCAAGCAGATTCCCTTTGCCTCATCCTCCTGCAGAAGCGGTCAAGGACGGCAGGTTGGGCAAGGTGACCTTCCAAAGCTGAATCTTGGCTTCTAAAAATAGAAGCATCCTTGGAGAATCAAAGAGGAGGGGAGGCTGTGGATGTTGAAGGCAAAACCCAGACTCCCCAGAGCGTTGTCAGGATGAAACTGTATTAATTAGACACAGGCACCCAGCTTGATAACATTAGGTATCATAGAAATTGAAACTAAATAAACTGGCTTCCCACCTCCCCCCTTTCTGGTAACACTCTCCTTGGGCTAAAAAGGAGAAAGAAAACCATGTCTTCTGACCTACTTGAATGGCTATACACTGTCTGAGGTGATGTCTTCCCCCTCAGAGGGCAACAGGGGCTCCATAGGGACACCCCAAGAGAAGGCCAGAGCTACAGTTAAGTGGGAATCCCCCGACCTGTCCCAAGGCCAGTAGCAAAGGGTCACCACCCATCTCCCTGGAGGGAGCCCACACAGCGCTTTGTGTGAGGCTGGACATGGGCAGGGCTGGGTGAGTGTCTGCGTTTGGATGGCACGTGTGGTTCTGCAGGGCCCTCATCTAGAGCCAGATGGTAGGGACTAGGTATTTCAGGGTCTAGAGGTGCTGTGTGTTGGCCTACACACCTAGCGTGTGACCAGGTTGTGTGCAGTGCTCTGGCGGGTGGAAGGTTGTGTCCGTGTGTCTCTGTGTGTGCAGGCACATGTGTGCATTTGCGGGAGTGTGTGGAAGTTTTATGGCCGCCCTGGGGGTGCTGTGTTGGGGAGAGTGGAGGGCTGTAAGGGAAGGCAGCATAGGAATGGTGATTGTCGGGAGGACTTTGCTGACTGATGTGGGGCCTGTGGGGAAAGCTCGGCGGGGGGAGGGAATTCCTTAGGAAGTGGGGAGGGTCTGGGTGGGGACCTGTTTGAGAGGCTGCAGGAGGCCGCACAGGGCTGTGTACAGAGAGTGTCTGGGCTGTTGGTGGGTCCATGCAATCCTATAGAGCCCTTCTTCAGGCAGTTTTGTCCTGGGGGCCCTGGGGATTGTGGCGGCATTATGAATGGAGCCACATGGGGGACCATGTGGGAAATAGTTAAGGCTCTGGGGGCTGCATTCAAGACTGCAGGGACCTGTGTGCAGCAGCAGAGGGCTGGGTAGAGGGTGATAGAGGCCCTGAATGGGCTCCACAGCCTCGCCCTCTGAGCGTGGGCTGGACTTCCGTAGGGCGGGACCCCCGAAGTCCAGGCATAGGTTCTCCGTGGGATTGACGTCAGGGAGAGACATCAGGGGACTCACAAGAGGAGCAAAAGGAGAAGTGCTTCCTTTCCAGTGCTGCCCTGTAATCATCCTTATGCACCCCAGGCTCAGACACTTTCTAACCGTTGACACTTTCTAACCGTCTCTTTTTGCTTTCTCAACAGGACAATGTGGATCTTGGAGAGTTGATGTTTTCCCTCTGCTATCTTCCAACTGCTGGCAGGCTGACCATTACCATTATAAAAGCAAGGAATTTAAAGGCAATGGACATAACAGGAGCCTCAGGTGGGACATTCTCAAATTCAGACTGCCTCATAGGGTTCTAGAGCCTTACAAAGTCTCTGGTAGAGTCGCGAGGTGCATGGAACCAAACTACCTAGGTTTAATCCTAGCACTAGGCTGTGTGACCCTGGGCAAGTCCCTTAACCTCTCTGCACTTTGGATACCCCATCTGTAAAATGAGGGTAATACTAGTATCTGGCTCATTGGGTTGTTGTAAGATTAAGTAAGTTAATGCACATAAAAACGTAAGAATAGTATCGGGCACATACTAAATGCTACCTAATGTGAATAATCATTATTATTCTCTTAGGTCTTCTTCACCATAATTGTGAACTGGTTCTACAGTTTGCACAGGCTGGTAGAGTTTATCTAACTGGGTCTTTCCTCTTACGTAAGCAATCACCTCAGGCCTGTGGAAGACGAAAAAAACAATCTTGTAGCCTCATAAAAGATTCATCAATGAACAATGTAGTTTGGTATTGCCAGTGAATCAAACATGTACATTTAAATTCTAAACCATAACAAAAAATGCCCCCATATGCAGTTCCTATTTTACAACCTCCACAAGGGGTTCCCAAAATGTGGTCGTAAAACACCCAGTCCACTGGCTGTTGATCATAGAAATCAAAGGACACTGGATGCAATGTAGTCTGCTTATTGTCCTCTAGTATTTTTCCCAGAGGAAAAAAGATGTGGCCCCTCCTAGTCCTCTGAGTCCCTTCTGGACAGTGTATGGGGAGTCAGTGGTTGTGCAGGTGAGGAGAGAGGGAATGCCCCACTGAGCAGAAGGAGAGTAAGGGGGAACCAGAAAAGTCTCACTGGAAGCAGGAAAGAGCCTTGTCACCTGTCCCCCTCTGCCCATGTTGCATCATAACCAACCCATTGTCCTTTCTTTCCCTGCCATGCTGCTGTGGGCAGCTCTGCAATCCCCAAAGTTCTCCCTGTCATCTAGGTGTTCTCCCTGTCCCTTTCCCAAAGACATGGTGTCTAGGAAGATTCTCTGGGGTAGCTCAGAGTTCAGGGCCTGCAGCCTGTTTTCCTCTGTCTTGAAAATACTTTTGCGTCTCTCCCCGTTGAAGCCAGGCAGGTCTAGCTGGAACGTTTTCTTATTTGATAACAGATGTTTTCACACTCTTTTAAAATTCCACACACTTCGAGGAGACAGAGTCCTGTACTTTTTCTTGAATGAATGCCTTCATTATCCTAACTCGTTGCTGCCCAGGCATCATATTAATTAAAATCCTCAAACTCCAGGCCCCAGGCAAGTAAGGGAGTTCAGCATTGCACCGTCTATGGAACCCCACTGTGATGAAACTGCCCCCTGAACCCACATCTATCCTCACAGTACCCCCGCTTCTTCTGGTTGTACAGATCCCTACGTGAAAGTATCGCTGATGTGTGATGGCAGACGACTGAAGAAGAGGAAAACATCCACCAAGAGGAACACTCTGAACCCTGTTTACAACGAAGCCATAGTCTTTGACGTCCCTCCAGAGAACATTGACCAAATCCACTTGGCCATAGCTGTCATGGACTATGACCGGTGAGATGCCTGGAGCACCTGGGGCAGGGAGGGCAGGGGAGGAATGGGGCCACAGATGCCTGGCTGGCATTCCAGGCTGCTGGAAATAAGTCAGGGGAATGCCCCAGGGAAAGCTGACTAACAAGGAATCGGCATTTTCCAAACCACACTGAAGAGTCCTATTACCCAAGTGCTTCTTTACTGTCCCCCTTTTCATTTCTCTCTCCTTCCCCATCCTCTCCTCCTTCCCTCCTCCTCCCCTCTCCATCCCTGCACACTCCCCAGAATCTCACCCTGGGAAACTGGGGCCCCACAGGTCTTAATCTTCTCCCGCGCAATCCTGCCTGGCCTTTGTGGGAAGATTCCACTCAAAATAGCAGAGTGATTCCTTTAGCCACACCACCAACATTTCTAAATACATAACTCTGTTATTTTTTTCCCTTCTCCCAGTGTGTTTAATAAAGATCATTTCCATCCACTTAAGTCTGAAAGCAAACAGAAATGTTCTCTTGAAAATGCTAGAATCAGTATGGATGACAGGGTACATTAAAATGTATAAGATGCTCGACTTTTTAATTAATACAGCATAGAAGAGATATTTATAGCTTGCATTGTAGCCAATTGTGTATTTAAAGGACAGATTTGAAAAACAGTCATTTTAATATGCAAAGGAAGTACCAACAGGGAATTAGACATGTTAAACCAGTCATTAGACTGAAATGCAAAGTCTCTTTTTAATTGGAAACCTCCCACGTGGTCTGGGCACAATTATAAAAAAAATCATTCTGACTTCGAATATAATCTTACAAATATTATTTGCAGCTAAGAATTTTCCCACATACTCCTGAAATGTCAGTAAGGCAGCTTCAGCACCCCAAACACTCTTCCTAGCAGATGCCTAGGTCAAGCAGAACTGTTTCCCAACCCAGGGAACACATGGCTTGGCTCGGCGGCCCAGGGGTGTGACAGCCCACGTCGGGCAATAGACCTTATCCTGTCTTCTCTGCAGGAAACGCAACACCAATAGTGTCAGCCCACAGGAGGGGCCATTGCCCACCAACCGTGGAAAGCTAGGCCAGCTTTTTTCAAGTGATTGCCAAGTTTCCCGCATCAACAAATCTGATTATATGAGCTCTGCTTCAATTCAATTCTCAGTTAACTCATGAATCTGCCTGGAAAAATCCATGGCAGAATTCATGGGGCTTCTGCATGCAACTGATTTTAATGAGCGTGAACTCAAATATCCTTCACACTCCCCTACCCATGTCTCACCCTTACTCCCTACATACAAATAGGAGAAAAACCACTCATCTTTGCCGGAAGGAAAATGAAAGCCCATGAGTTTGGATCCCAAAGAGTTAAAGGATTTCATTCTAGTTAGACGACTTCTAACCAAAAACTGCTAAGGGGGAAAAATTGTCCCAAGTCAGGGATGTACCCTGAAGTTTTCAGAAATATTGGCCCTGAAGTTACAGGAACTCAGTATCTTTCTATAGGAGGAAATCAAGTAGGCTCAAAGAAGCAAAGATGGGCTTGGAAGGAAGGAGGGGAGAGCATGAGAACGCACGTTTTCTGAAGAGAGGGGTTGCAAGAAAACCCAGGAGCTATCTCCACCCTGCCCTCTTTGTAAGCTCCAGACCATGGCTACCCTACATGGCGCGTCTCCCTTACCCATACTTGGTTGCCTCTGACAGGAATTTGAGCAGCCATTAATGCAAGGAACTCCTTTCAGATGGCCTCCCTTTCATTATATAAGTTTGAACCTAGTTCTAGAACCAGAGTTGTCATCCTTAGCATGCATCAGGAACAAGCTAAGCCATTCCAGTGTTACAAAAGCCAATGTGTGTGATGGCCACACTCTACTCTTCCTCTCTCTGCCCCTAAGTACAATACTGGATCCCAAGTTCTATTGGCTGTTGAGCTTGTCCTATAGTTTTAAATGAGGGAAGGAAAAGAACCACCCTTCCCCTCATTCCTACTAGTTTAATTGAGTAGCTGTTGCTCTTACATACCAGAATTTTAAGAAAAATTTATTGTGGGCCATTTTCACAGTGTAGGTCATAATGAGATCATCGGCGTGTGTCAAGTAGGCAACGAAGCTGAGAGGCTGGGCAGAGACCACTGGAGTGAAATGCTGTCGTATCCTCGGAAGCCCATCGCACACTGGCATTCCCTGGTGGAGGTAAGACCCTACTCTCACATGTTGCACTTTGTGGAAGAAGAAATGCTTTGCTATTGAAATGCAGGAGCCACCATAAGTGTGAGTGTAGCAGGGTCTATGGTCATCGATGGGTTTCTCTGGCTGCCTTTCCTGGGCTGTTGGAAATTGCCTTCAATCTAAGGTTGAGTCTATGTGCCCCACCCATCTAGTAGGTTTTGAACATTGATCACTCATCCCTTGCTTTGTTTGTCTTCAAAAATGATCAGGATTCTCTGATTCCATGTTGTGGCTTTGGGTTGACATTTGGAAGGTGTCTGCAAGATCTAGGAAAGTGTGGAGTTTTAGGTTGCCATAGGGAGGTGTATGCGGAGCATCAGAGAGAACTTGAGACTGGGAGAGCAGAGACCCAGATTCCAAGACCGGCTCTAGCATTAACCTGTGATCCTAGACAAGCTGCTTAGAATCAGTTTCAACTACATGTGATGAAAGTCCCAAAAACAACAAATGCAATGGAAATCTCTCTCTTACATTTAAAAAAAAAAAAGGTCCAGGGATACCTGAGTGGCTCCATCAGTCAAGCATCTGCCTTCAGCTCAGTTCATGATCCCAGGGTCCTGGGATCGAGTCCCACATCTGGCTCCTTGCTCAGCAGGGAGCCTGCTGCTCCCCCTCCTTATGCGCTTGCTTTCTCTCTCTCTCTCTCTCTGACAAATAAGCAAATAAATAATATTTAAAATAAAATAAAAATTTTCTAAAGGTCCAGAAGAAGGCAATCTAGGGTGTTACAGTGGCTCTGTGATCAATAGAGACCTAGACTTCTGTCTTTCTGCTTCACTGTCACAGTACAGGTTTGTTTTTGTTTTTTGTTTTTGGGGGTTACCTCATTGAATAACATGGCTGCTAAGCTCCAACCATGACATATCTTCCAGGTCACAGAAAGGTGGAAAGATACAAAGGCCAAAAGCACACACATTTTCTATTAAAGGATTTTCCTTGATGTCTCCTGCAACACATCTACCTGTATTTAACTTAGTCACAGAACAGTCGTATGGACACATGTGGGAAATGTATGCTTTTGTTGGGTGGAAATAGGCCCAACTGAAAACCCGGGTTCTGTATGGAGGGAAGAAGAGAGGAGTGAATCCTTGCATACAGTGAGTCATCATTCTGCCCCATCCCTTCCTTCATTCACTCCCCATCCCCTTCCCCTGTCACTTACTTCTCGTTTATGCTTCCCCCATCCGTCTTTGCCCATTGACTCATTCTCTTATTTATTTACTAACTCATTCTCTCAAAAACAAATTGCATTCATTAGGTAACATTTGTGAGAGTGAAATGCCATATTGGATAAAGAAAACAGATGGGAATAAGAAACCTTCCTCCAAAGAGCTTATAGATACCAGAGAGGCAGAAGAAGGCACGCAAACGGATCATTAAAATGCCCAGTCATAAGCATTAACATCCACATCAGGTGCTACTGGAGTGCAAAGGAGGGAGGTGAGATTGTCCATGTAGCATTCTTCCTCCTGCTCTTGGGAAGGGAGGGGCAGGGAGCCCCTAGGAACCTAGACTCCAAGGAGCATGGGTTCCAGGCAGAGAACTTTCCTCTTATTCTCCCAGTGCAGGTAGCTCTGTTCCTTCCAAAAGCCAACCTGAGCAGCCAAGACAAGAGCCTCATCAGTATGGGCTCTGCCGCCATTGAGAGTCAGGAGAGCCAGGCTGAAGCTGACATGCTGGGCAGCTGTGGAGAGGCTGTGGGCCTGGGGAGGAAGGGACAGTCTCCCTTTGTTGGAGGCAGTGCTGGGAGGAGAAGAGCAGTGTAGACCTTAGGCACTGGTCTAAGCTTCAGGTCATTGAGTGTATTCAAGCAGCACCTAGGGTCCCCTAATTTACAGGTCCCTGTGGATACCTCTGCCCTAGGCCATCAAAGCTAGGACTCTTTCTTTCCTGGATTCAAAATTAATCCCTAAGGGAGATCCACTATCCCTGTGAACCACCTGAGAAGTAACTAGGAGACGGATGCTGACCCAGCTGCCCCTTGCTTCTCCAGCTCCTGGTGGGGCTCTCAGAGGAGTCCGTGTGGGGGCTCATAATCACCTGCGTCTGCTGGTAGCATGGCCATCAGAGCAATTATAATAGACTTTTTGCACATTTATGAGTCTCTGCTGACTTTAATTCTTGCTTGTAATCTGGAGGGTCTCAGAGTGTCCCAGAGCTCTCCGTTTCTCGGGACACAGGATGGGAAAGGAGTGGGGTTTAGGGGTGTGGTGTGGGGCTGAGACAGGAGCCCCAATTTGGTGCATAGGCAGCTCCCTCTCAATGCCCTTGCTGGGGAGGAAAGACAGGTGGGACATTGCACATGAGCCCCGAGTGGCCATTCACGCATGGTACCCAACGGGAAGTCTAGAAAGCACGCTTTGGAAGCTGCCTTGGCAGCTGAGGAAAAAGCGCTGTCTGGCTTTGCAAACCTAGGAGATAGTCCCTAAACTCCGAGCACTTGGCGTTTCACAAATGTATGTGTGACAGCTGTGTGAGTGAGAAATCCTTGCTTTTGGGGTTAAACCACCGAAACTTGGGGAGTCATTTGTTGCAGCAGTTAGAATGGCTTTAGCTGGTGTGATGGGGTTTTCTCACCTGCTGCCATGGAACCATGTGCCCGGGCACCTTTGGGAGGTGAGGTTCTCTCTGTCCCACGGCATCCTGTCTCTTCAAAGTACGGGTCCCGGACTCCATATTCATCCCCAGAGCGGAAGCCATACTTTCCCTCTTAAAAATAAAGGTGCAGCTAGCAGAATTGGGGCACTGGTACCAGCTGAGATGAAAAGCAGGATTGGAGAGGTCACTGCACCGTGTGGACAGCTGTGAGGATGGAGGTAGGAGGACCGGAGCCCGAGGGTGGAGACGGTCACTGGGATGGGCCTGTGTTCATATCCCTGTGCTGCCACCCACAACCTGTGGGTTTCTGTCGGAATCTCCGTTTTCTCATCTGCACAGTGGCCACAATAGCATGTATCTCCCAAGGGAGGCTGTGACGAGTAAACAGTCTAATGGCTGGATGGGGAGCACAGTGGTGGGCACATAAGGAACACTCCATGAGGTTCTCTGTCATGGTCATTATTATGTGTGTCCCACCTGGGGAGGGACTGCCATGTGTCCTCATGGGACTCTCATCCACAGTGTTTGTCCTAGAGCATGAAAGGGAGGCTGAAGTCCCCCATCCCCGGTATCCTGGGGAGCCATCACCTCAGAACCGGGGAAGGGGTCATTTGAGGCATGACTGGGCGCAGATGCTCATACTGAAGTTCTGTTTCTTCTCTCTTCTTAGACACTCTACGAATGTTTAAATGTTCTGCTTTGGGGCACCTGGGTGGCTCAGTGGGTTAAGCCTCTGCCTTCGGCTCAGGTCATGATCTCAGGGTCCTGGGATCGAGCCCCGCATCGGGTTCTCTGCTCGGCAGTGAGCCTGCTTCCCCCTCTCTCTGCCTGCCTCTCTGTCTACTTGTGCTCTCTCTCTCTCTCTCTCTCTCTCTCTAATAAATAAATAAATAAATAAAATCTTAAATGTTCTGCTTTAAGACAAAAACAGCGATTAAGTCCCAGTCCTGTGTGTGTGCATGTGTATGTAAGCATGTAATCTGGTGTGAATGAACGAGAGAAAGGGAAGAGAGAGAATATGGGGTAGTTAGGATTTAGTATAGAGGGAGGCTGAGCTGGCAGAAGCTCCTCACTGCTGGGAGCTGAGGGACCAGGTCAGGGCTGAACCCTGAGCCCTGCAGAGATCTGGCAGCCGACCCCAGGCTGCCTCCAGCACACCCTGACCTTGCCAGGGCAGGTGGCAGATGGAGTCTTCAAAGCCAATGAGTTAAAAAATCCATTTCTCTCGCAGAGTTTCTGGATGGCTTCACTGCACACTCAAAGGTCAGCCAATACAGCTCCCTTTACTGTCCATGATGTCAAAGGCTTGGGAAGCGGTGCAGACTCTCCCAGAGCTGGCTGCGTGGGAGCTGGGGGCAGGAGTAGCCCCTCCTTAGGGCCTTGGGAGGGGACCGAGCTCTTGGAGCTCCCATCGCAGCCCCCTCGCCAGTATATCACAGAGAAGGTGGTGTTGGCCTGGCCCCATCCCAGCACCTTTCCCATCCTCCTGCCTGTGGAGCTGGCCTCCATCATGAACCCCAGCAAGAGGAATCAAAATCGTTCCCAGTTTTCATCGCTTCCCACCATAGTGCCGCATAACCTGTGTAGTGTGGAGTAGTGACCTGGGCTCATGGGAGGCCCAGACACAGACACTATTGGGCTAAATAAAATTTTAATTTTCTAAAAGAGTGAGAAGACAAATATCCAATCAGAATATAGAGTGAAGATCAGCAACATTATCCTGACTGGCAGAGAGATAAGATTCTAAACCCCAGAGTCCGACTCAAGCTGTGCTTAGGTGTGGATAAGTCTCCTCTCTCCATGCTCAGCATCTCATACATATGCGTGTCTGAGGTTAATGGGGTTCTGCTCCTGGCTGGTCTGCTGGTCTACAGTGCCACCTCGCTGAGCCCAGGGCCCCCAGCCACTCAGAGTTAAACAGTCCCATACAGCTGAGGGACAAGTGTTGCTTGAACAGTACTCAGCAACCACCCTCTGGAGCCTCCTTCAAGGGGTAAACTTACAGCTGTAGATCTAAAGCAAGCGTCAGTTACCCAGACTCCCCTGGGAGTTACACGAACAGGCCCTTGAACCAGCTCTAGGAAGTGTTCATCAAGTGCCCAGCAGAGCCTGCCTGGAGTCTTCGAGGTACACACATTCCCATTTGATCACCCTGGTTGGGTCTCCCCAGGCCTGCTTTGCCATTGGTCAGAGGTCATAGAAATATGAGCCAGTGCCTGAAGTGAAGAAGTCAGAGGCTTTAGCACTTTGGGCAAATTGTTATTAAAAAAAAAAAAAAAATTGAGGAAACAGGAGTGTTTCTCCAGGAAGAGGAGGGATTGTCTGGAAAGAACTGAGCAAGAGATCAGGTTCTTATCAAAGGAGTT